TCGGCGATGCAGCGTGGTTTTCTCGATGACGCGTCAGAAGGTAACATCTTATTTCGATAAAAGTCGCGGAAGTCTATTAATCACTGGAGCGCATTGTGACATTCAACCGAGCGGCATTCAGGGTTTCAATATTATCGATACTCAACAGCGGGGCCAGCATCCGCGTCTATTGAAAGAGAGTTTATCAATAGAGTGCAGGACACTCTTGCTGTATCCGTTTCTAAAGCATTCTAAGCTCGGCGAGGTTCCTACAGTTTTCCGGAAACGATGACCGTCTCTAGACACGAAGAATTTTTTATCCCCAATAAACGGAATCACGGTAAACGGAATTACGGCTCCAGTGTGAAAAAAATATTATATATGGAGGGAGAAGGGGAATATTTTTTTTTTTTTGGGGGCAATTTGATCATCCAAACACGTACGTGGAGGAAGAATCTTCGAGAAATCTTCGGAAGGATAAAAATAAGGTTGATGCGGTTAAGAAGATTTTCCAGAAAGCCACAAGTAGTAGGTAAGTCGAGGTAAATACATTTCTTCCTTATGTCAACTTCGATTAAGCTTATATATAGTCCACAGATATGATTCATATTAATGCTGAGAAATTGGATGGTGTGCGGAAATAAATAATCAGACACACCTATCGCCCCTCCTCTACAGAGGATCGATGAAAGTGAAAGACTCACCATGGTTAATTCGAGGAGACACGGTGATCGGACGTTGTCCACTTTAACGTAGGAGTTTCAACGGAACAGTTCGAGAATTCGTCACGAATTCGTCTTAATTTCTAAGTTTCGTCGTTCCAATTATTTCGCTACTCTCGTCGAGGATATCGTATGCGATGGAGGAGATCACGTCTCCCCTGTTTATCGACGTTCGAAACGAATCCATGGTTAATCCGATAGCGCTCAAAAAGAGACGAAAACCCCCGACGAATTTGCGGAAATGCACGGTTTCCTGACCAACAGACGATTCTTTCCACGGTCCAGTTAGACGATACGGAATTAAGCTCGAAAAGTACTCGGCGAGTACACCGGGATGATGGTGGGCCTATACAGCTATAAACAGCGACAAAAGGATACCGAGTGGGCGACGAGCATTGAATGTACCAGAAAGGATTGTATGCCAGCGAACGATGCTGACGATGGTAGCGACGATGGTTGCTGTTGCTTTTGGCATACGTGTGTCACGTACGGTACGTCTGTCTGCGGCCTGCTTTTCGGTGTATCCGTGCTGCCGGCAGAAAAGAGGAGTATTTTAGCCCGCGTCCATATGAACGTAGGGACGAAACAATGTAGCTTTTGTGCGAGAAAGGAACGGAAAAGCCAAGCCAAAGAGAGAGTCTAAGAGCGATTGAAATGCTCGGCCGTCTGTCTCTTGTTCTCCACGCCTCCCTCTCCGTCTCACCCTTCTTCTCTATCCTTCCTCCCCCTCTTTCCCTGCGTCTTTGCGCTCCCGTCTTTTTAGCACTCAAACATCTATGTTGTCTCATCCTTCGCAGTTGCTTCATCTTCGCTTTGATCGCAGCAACATCGCAGTGATTGCAAACGTGTTCACCTTCTTCTCGGATAGGCGACTATCCGTTCTGTGAATTTTTTCATCCTTTACGTGATTCGCCTACTGTATAAACCTTGACCTTTTACGTTTTCAACGACGAGGGGGAAACGTCCTTGTTTTTTGGGCGAAAAATCACCAGTAGTAAGAGTAGAACGACGGACAATAGAATGGATAATAAAAATAAAATTCCGTCCTCTCTAACAGAGAAATTTTTCCAAACAACTGCGAATTAAGCACGCATTTCATTCCATCGTTCCGAACTCGATATGTGTAAAGATAACGAAGAGTTCTTTTTTCTTTCTTTTTCGTTTTTTTTTTTTTTTTTTTTTTTTTGTTAGACAAATCTAAAAGCAAGGATGACAGAATGAGAAAGTAACGACGCGCGGAGCAGCAAGGGTGGTATGTGCAAGAAGGGTAAGTATTGGTAGACACAGATGTGAGGGGTGGTTGCAGGTTGATAGTCAAGACTGCCTTCAGATTCCAGAGTGAAGCATTGTGTCCCGAACGCGCATTGTCCTCCCGTCACCGGGAACTCGACAATGCCGAGTCCGTAAGTTAGTAACCCTACCGTAAAAACTTATCTCCACCCCAAACCATCGACCTCCAGCCTCCATGATTCCGTTCGATTTCCAACCTCCTCCCGCCAACTCTTCCGCTTTTCTGCCCTGCCTCGTGACGCCTTCCTTTTCCCCCCTTCCCGATCGGGAAGGATCGAGATCCGTGTCTAACGACGTTCCTCTTCTTTCCAAAGGAGGACAGAACTTCAGGAGGGCATCGAATTCGTCTTATTAAATAAGGATGATAATCGAGAAGTTAAAATTCTTGATTAATGAATTTCAAAGTGCTCCTTTTGCTCCTCTAGACGATATATAATCTTGCGGGTAAACTATGTCGTCTATCACGCCTGCTAACTCGGTCGATCAACAGTGATGAAGAATCGAAAAACTGGTTGGTCAGCATGCAGGGAGTCGGTCTGGAAACGGAAGTGAACGTCCTGGGGACCGGATACAAACATTAGGGGTTGGCGGGCGGTCCTCTCGTTGGGACTCAAGTTGGCGAGCAGCCGGACAACGCGTGGTCGCCGGACAAAGCTCTTCTAATTGTCCCCATCAACGACGAAGAATGGACCGCGGGCCTGCCGCTGACAATTTCATTTGTAATTTGCATAAGGCTTATTAAAATCACAATGGACGTGGACCCACAGGGATGCTCGATCGAGGTGGCCGCAGGCTTCTTTTTTTGGACTGCTCGATAAAGAATAATCACGATCACCGCTGTGCCGGTAATTGAACTTTAATAAGAACCGGAATTCGTTCCGACCATTTTGACATCAATTGTCAATGGGAGAAAAAAAAAAAAAAAAAAAACAATTAATCGTCGATAAAAATTAAACATTGTAACTTAACTTACATTTAATAAAGCTGGCTCCAGTAGATTCTTTTATCCATGATTATATATCCAAAAACACTTGATACACATATCGCACTTTTATTTCGTTTGTTAACGGATAATAAAAAAAAGGCGTGAAAAAAGAATAAATGTAATTGGAAACGAAATTTTATAAATGGAAAATAAAATGAACAAAGATATATCTAAATATAATAGCATTGTAAAAAAAAAAAGAATACCACCGATAGATGATGATTCGAATGAAAATTAATTTATAAATTGTTTTTTTTTTTTTTTTTGCACGACTTATGACACCAGTGTTTCCACATTTCTCGAAATGTGTCGCGCACGTGAGACAGCGCGGAACTGAACCATCTCAAAACGCTATCATATCACGCGCCGCCACATTCCCCCACCAACTTCTACCAAAATGCGTCTACGCATCTCTTATTCACGTTACTATAAAAACAATCTGATCTGATATAAATTGTAATTTTATAATAAGAAAGAAAATAAAACAATAATTTCATAATAATAATAATTCTCTTAGAAAAATAGATTATTAATCTAATAAAGAAATAAGAAATACAAGAAAAATATAATGATTAAACAGACGTAAATTATTAATTGTTTTTTAATACATTTCTATATAATGAACATTAAATGTTCTAAGCAATATCAAATATTCGATAAAATCGATTCTATTCCAAATTAATGTCTGATTCTAGGACAACTGTTTTCCAAAACACATATTCCTTGATTATTGTCGCGTACATATCCCTTGTCGCAGATACAACCACTTAAACAATTTTTTGTCTGGATGCAAGGCATGGATTCCCAGATATCAACATTATCACAATTCTTTTCGCAATTTGGATCTGCCTGACACTGACTAAAAATTTCATTTTTCCTACATATGTCTTCGACGTAGATTATTTCGGGCTCTTGAAAAAAAAAAAAGAAAAAAATAAAAATAAAAAATCTCTCCGTTTATATCAAAATGAAACTGAATGAATGAATTTCAAATGAAAAATTAAATATCTAACAATAAGTTACTTACTAAAAAGTATTCCCCCTGTTACCACGTTTGAATGTTCGAGTAGAAAAACATTTAAAATAATAAAAACGAAATTCACTTCTATGTACTTCATTTTCTTCGAAATATCGGAAAAGAAATGTAAATGTAAACTGTCGCGTCTGCGAATTTTAATACCCGGCCAAGAATACAATGCAGCGATAACCAAATTAGGTTATCAACAAGAGAACCACTTTTAATAGCGTATAGCAACGTTCTTTGAACGGAAACTGGTGCATCAAAAAGATAAAATATGAAAGCGAATAAGTATAAGAGAAAACCCTTAGGCATACAAAATTTAATAGGCATTGAAGAATAATCATTTTTTTTTCCAGTTTTCGTGTTATGTATTTGCGGATTTTTAAATTGTACAGCAGCTCGTTTACATACAACATATATAAGTGTCTTACTAGTAAATTATTTGTATGATACCTTAAAATAAGTATTTGTAATAAAGAGGGGAGGATTTGTGATAACGTGTCCGAAATAATAGCAATTATGAAGAATAATCCAAGGATGATCGATGTGAGGGGAAAAACTATATTCCTTACTAATAAAGTCTCTTCTTCGCGTTGGCGATTCGCGATTCAAATTTACTTGTTAGAATCAACGATATCCGTAAATGATTACAACTTTTTTTTTTTTTTTCTTCATCAAACGCACAAGTTCGGAACGTGAGGTGCAATATTAAAAAGTTTAAAATCAACGCGAAAAATATTAAATCGGAAGTGAATTCATTTCATATTAAAACAGCGAATAATATATTATCGATTCTTACTCATGACAATGAATGATAATGAAAAGCCACTTGCATATCTCAAATACTGCGACCAAATACTTCCCTTCAAAAATGCGCGTCACAGAAGGAGCTTCTTTTTTTCTCTTCCTTATTATTTATAAACGATATCTTCGTTACAATAAGAAAAGATTGATACTACGATACGAGAATAAGTACCAGAGTCGAAAAGTGTGTAAAATTTTCTTTTTTTTTTTTTTTTTTGGTTAACAATTAAAGAAAAAAAAGGAGGGGAAAATCACAAGTTTATAGATGTTCATTAATTTCACGCGGTACAAACAAGTTATCAAGTGTTATCAAGTGTATGAATGTGCGAGAAACGCACATTTATATGTATTATATCACGAATATTTACCATGTAAATATTCATGTGCAAAACTATAACAATTGAGGGAAACGGCCTCGATTTATATTCATTCGATATAATTCCGTATTTTACGCGATTATTGTTAACTCTGATAAAGTTAAAAAATCGAAAGAAAAAAGTACATTTCTCGCAACCGTCATTAGCACTGTTGTACGTTTTTCCTTACAATATATCCCCCTCTAGACTTTGTTTTAAATATACCGAAAATATTCGGTATAAGAATAGAGTAAGAGGTCTATGTCTCACGTGATCCGGTTGATGTTTAACGTTGAGGAGAAGTAACTATATCACAGATGAAGGAGAAGAATCGAAGAAGCAGCAACGGCAACGGGATTTCTACCAAACCTTAGCAGCAAGGGTTCTCTGCATTAAAACATTCTTGCTTCGCTGCTTCATGCGCTCAATGAAGTACTCCTTGCCTTCCAGGTTATCGTCGACAGGTCCAACCTCATTAACAATTAAAGAAAAAAAAGGAGGGGAAAATCACAAGTTTATAGATGTTCATTAATTTCACGCGGTACAAACAAGTTATCAAGTGTTATCAAGTGTATGAATGTGCGAGAAACGCACATTTATATGTATTATATCACGAATATTTACCATGTAAATATTCATGTGCAAAACTATAACAATTGAGGGAAACGGCCTCGATTTATATTCATTCGATATAATTCCGTATTTTACGCGATTATTGTTAACTCTGATAAAGTTAAAAAATCGAAAGAAAAAAGTACATTTCTCGCAACCGTCATTAGCACTGTTGTACGTTTTTCCTTACAATATATCCCCCTCTAGACTTTGTTTTAAATATACCGAAAATATTCGGTATAAGAATAGAGTAAGAGGTCTATGTCTCACGTGATCCGGTTGATGTTTAACGTTGAGGAGAAGTAACTATATCACAGATGAAGGAGAAGAATCGAAGAAGCAGCAACGGCAACGGGATTTCTACCAAACCTTAGCAGCAAGGGTTCTCTGCATTAAAACATTCTTGCTTCGCTGCTTCATGCGCTCAATGAAGTACTCCTTGCCTTCCAGGTTATCGTCGACAGGTCCAACCTCATTCTAGTAACAAACGAGAGTTAGTTGGCTCCTAGGTCGCGTTTCTCTTGCGCGTGTGGCTCATCACCATCATCATCATCATTATCCTCATTATTTATTCCTCATATTATCATCCGGATTATCATGATCGTCATCACGAAGATAGGCTAGTCTTTTGCAAAAGCCTACACAGAAGAGACCTAACCAACCTTGTTAGCTGTGTCGCCCCCCTCGCCCTCTCCCCACCTCTCGTAGTCATCGTCGTCCCTTTCTTCGCCTTCGCTTAAAGGTCCATCTTGCCTTTTACTAGGAGGAGCATTCGATCCTCCACTACCTTGTTGATGCTCCATAACGTCATCTCCCCCTTCGAGCATTTTGTTGATCTTCTCTTTTGCTTCGTCGACTTTTCTCATCGGATCGGGAGAATAACTACGATCGCTGTATCTATCGCGAGAAGCGGCACGACGATCTCTGAAGTCACGCCTATCTCGGAAATCGCGGAAGCCCTGCTTACCGTGGAAAAATCTACCACCACGATTACCGCCACGTCCGCGTCCACCACCACGATTATTAAAACCACCGCCACGTCTGTTGCCAAAACGATTGTTGTGTTGATTATTATAGAATCGATTACGATTTTGGAAATTGTTACCACCACCGCGATGATTTGGATTATTGAAACCCTGGAAACGTGGTTTATAATAAGTGCCGCGGTTATTGTATGGTCGGAATTGTCTCTTGCGATAGTAACTTCTATCTCCGGATCTACTGCGACTGCGACTTCTAGTATAAGATCGGGAACGTGATCTAGAACGTGATCTACTGTATGTGCCCGATGGAGATCGACTATATTTTCTCTCGTAACTTCCAGATCTTCGATTCGAATATGATCTTGAACGACTTCTTCTGGGTGAACGAGACCTCGAAGAACCTGAACTGGAGGCACTGCGCGATCTGCTCCGTGATCGTTTCACTGGGCGATCTCTGCTCATTCTCTTAGTCACGGTTCCTCCTCTACCGCTCGATTCACGTTTCTTAGATGGTTGTCTATGTTGCCTTTCTGTCTCGCTATCGGAATCTGTTCTAGGACCTTTAGCTTGATTTTGGTTCTTTGCTAGTGGAGGAGGACGCGGTGGTTCTGGTGGGTGACCAGCACCGGTATTACCGCTTTGTCCAATAGGTTGGAATTTGCCACCAAGATTGTTACTAGAACTAAACTTCGTTGGTGTTGTTTGAGGAGCAGATATAGAAGGATCCTTATATGATTGGAATTTGTTCTGCGGTTGTGGCGTGGGATATTTTACCGGTTCTTTGGGTAATGGCGGTGGAGTCGGGGCAGACATGGGCTGAGCAGCTGCTGCTCTCTTTTCCGCGAGTTCACGCTGCATTTGTTTCCGTATATTCATAGATTTTTCCAATGCCGTACGTTGCAGCTTCTCTTCCAACTCATTATCATCATCTTCATCACTATCTACATTTGACTGCATCTTTTTATTCTCTGCTGATACATCTTGCCATTTTTGCGGAAGAACATCCTTTTGTCTAAATAAATGAAAAAATGATCGGTATGCATATATCCTCGTGACATTACACAGATTTTATACATGATTTGTATAATAAGCTTTTTTTACCTAGCAGCCTGTGCGGCTTTCCACTTTGCATTCAATGCAGCTGTATCGAGAGTAGGTAATTTTGGTTCAGGATGAATCAGTTGAGACTCTTGCTCAAATATGTCCGTGAGCGGTTTCCTCTGAATTTCTGTAAAAAATATAAAATTAAACGGATCTAAATCGAATTAATTAAATGTATATTTCCTTTTTCTTATAATTTAATCCTTACCTTTACGCTGCTGTGCGGTCATTGGTATTCTAGCTTCTCGTTCGTGATATGCTTTTGAAGCTTCATCCCTTTCTCTTTCCTTCTCCCTGCGCAGCTCTTCCTCTCTTCGCGAACTTTCAGCGAGCTTCTCCGCGTTGCTAAGAGGGGAAGCTATGTCATTATACTGAGCTACATACCTAGTAAATATAAAAACATAAATAAAATACGATAGGTTAAAACCCACGTTTCCATTCATGTATCTGTAAAAAATTAGATTAACCACGGACAATTAGCTAAGAAAATACAAATTAAAATAATGTAACATCAAAACCAATATCTATACTATCTATATAAAAAAATTAATTATAAAGATAGAAATTTCGTAAAAATAAATAACCAAAACAAAAAGTTGTTCACGAACTGTTCCAACCTTTTCAGGACAGCAGTCTCTTTTTCAACTTTTGCATAATATGCATTCAGTTTTGATTCCAATTGTTCTAAATCCGGCAATGATGATTTCTTCAAAGCTTCTAAATCTCGTTCGAGTTTGTCCTTATTTTTGCGTTTTTTCCTTTCTTCTTTCTTCTTCTTCTTCCTGCTTTTTTTATCCTCTTTTTCTTTATCTTTTCCTTTCTTTTCCTTCTTCTTCTTTTTCTTCATTTTCTCACTCTCTGAATGTTTCTTTTCCTTCTCTCTTTCTCTCTTCCATCTAGCAGTTTCTTCTAAGAATTTCCTTACCTAAATATAAGAAAAAATAATATTAGAGGACAAAAATAATTTAAATATATATAAAAATATATATATATATATATATATATAAAATTCTTACTTTATCTTCGTAATCAGAGTCGTCCTTCGTTTGCTCTAAGAATTTCCGTACTTTTATTTCATAGTCATCCATTTTATCTCGAGTATTAGAACTGTAAGATACTGGAGCGATTACATCATGCGTAGCTGTAGTAGCAGCAGCTGGTGGATTATTATATTGAGCCATGCGTTTGCTAAGCGGTGAAAGTGAACCACGATGATCTTTCTTGTGTTTTCGTTTGCGACTAGGCGATCGGGATGCTGATCGTGAACTTGCGGACGAAGAAGAACTGCTGGATTCAGAACTGGAGGAACTCGAAGATCCACTTGATGACGAACTAGAACTGGAACTCCATCTCTGCCTTTTCTTTGAACGCAATTTCCTTTCCTTCTTACGTTTCTTCTTTTCTTTTTTATTTTCACTGACATCATTCTCAGTTTCAAAACTCTTGAACGTATCCAAAGGATTCAAAGAAGATGTTAATGTCTTAGACTTGATGTATTCAATAGAATTCCTAGCTTCTTCATGGAATGGAGCAATCGCCAAGCAATTTTCATATGCTTTTTGAGCGTCTTCGTACTTCTTTTCATCTTCATAACTTCGACCTAGAGCAACAAGAGTCTCAGCCATGTATTTACGGGCATTCGTATGAGTCTGATTTAATTTCAACGCTGTCTCAAAATCATCAATTGCTTTCTTGAAACTACCACTATTTGCATATCTGTAAAAACAAAAATATATACATATAAAATAAGCATAATTTAAAATAATATATTTTATAAATATCATCAAGATGTTTTATACAAATAATAACTTACAATGCTCCACGGGCCACTAATCCTTCAACGTTTCGCGGATCTACGGTAAGTGCCTTATTGAGACACTGGAAGGCTTCCGTATGACGTCCAGCTTTGAAATGATCTATACCTTCAGCCACGCTTCGGAATGCCCATTTACTAGCCTGTGCCTGTCTTAATTCGGATGCATATTCATTGGGTGGAAACTTTTCTCTTTAAACAAAAAAAAAAAAAAAAAAAATTCAGAATCATATATATCAAAATATAATTTATTTTATAATTTTTATTTATATAAAAATGATTATTATAAAAATGAATGTAAAATAATGATATTTTACCTTAAACCAACCATATTGGAATGGTTCTCTTGTCCAAGACCCATCACGTCGCAAAGATATTTAATGTTGTTCGGGTTGTTGAAGCCAGTACTATTCTCCAACATCGCTTCATAAGATTGTCCTTTGTTGTCCATCGCTTTCCTACATCATAAAAAAAAAAACAATCAATTATTAAAATATAAAAATCATTTTGACCTTTGCCAAAAAGAGGATACCAAAGCTACTTCGTTAACGGTAAAACTAAAGACTTGATAATCATGATGACCGAATCTTCACAAGTCTTGAATTAATTTCCTGGCATAGTTTTCTTTTCGATTTTAGTGTTCTCCCTTCAATTTTTTCGACTTCACGTCGTCTTATCTATATTTGTGCATATTAATATGCAAGTCCTTTGTGTTGCTATTCCTTGCACGTATATTAACGTGTAGCACCCTCCATCGGTTTATTTATCCCTGCGTAATGATTCTTCTCCCTTCGATCTACATGAATTATTCAACGATACGACACTAATGCCAAAGATGTTCCAGAGAAAAGAAGATTTCTTCCATTTGGAATAAAAAATGTTTATCAGACACCTCATGGTATTAGAGTCGATCAAAATCTACGTTTGTACCGTTAACAAGCAGCAGGGGTCCGAAACGGGGATACATTGCAGAAAGTTTGGTAGATTTCCTTTATTACCAGATTATTTCTTATGTATAAATTTACAATGGTACACAACCTCATTATTATGTAAACTCGTCTCTCACCTTTCATGTACCGCTAAGACGTATATTTCTAGTATTTTGTATCATGTTTGTAATCAGAGGATTTCTCAACACAAAAGCACACAGCCTATCATCAATCGATGGTGGTTTGGTTTTTATAAGTTTTTGGTGCGATAAAATAAATTGCATAGCCCTAGGATAGGTTGGGAGCCACGCCTGAGTATATTTTATCTTCCAAGTTGACCAAAAAAATATTTTTTTTATATGTAGTACTGTCGCCTGTTTTGCATTTTGTGGTGTCAATTCAAACATGACATCATTTTTTTTATATTTTTTATTTGTCAATTTAAGCTGTAAGTTTAAATGAGGCATTATTATGACAAGGCGCAATTCTTTTGAGGCTTAAAGGTAAAGGTTCGGGCGATTAAGATTTTAGTTATTTGGTCTCTGCTTTAACTTCATGAAAAATCTAAAAAACTTTTACTTTACTTTACTTTACTTTACTTTACTTTACTTTACTTTAATTTAATTTAATTTACTTTACTTTACTTTAATTTACTTTAATTTAATTTAATTTGTAATGTGATACATACGAAATATACATCGACAGCGTGTTGACATATTTATATATTTTAGCTATGTAAGTATTGAAGTCAAATAAAAAATTTAGTACAAATAAAAGTACATTCGTGATGTATTAAAAAAATATATGATTTTAAACATTTTATTTTTTATTTATTATTCGTTTATAATAAGAGACCAAACAACAGTAAATCATTATTATACCTACCGTCTGCAGCACTCACTCTGGCCACCCAAGGCTCAACATCTCATACTGGAAATGCAACCTCAAAAGACATTGATGTCATTTGGCGCCATTGCTTGGCTGGTGCTTTGAGAGTAACATATCACAAACGTAGATAGAATATTGTGCGCAACAGAGCCATGTCAACCAATGCTCAAGGTTTGAATCATTTGTATCACATTATAAATTCATCATCATACTGACTATCAACTTTTTACGTTATTGAGAGTGTCTGGCACCTAAATTCATAAAAACGTGTAAGAGGAATCAAATCTAATTTACCTTGTTTTGTTAGTATCACAGTGCGTCTGTTAAATCTCAACTTCTTTTGACCACCATACCATTTTTCTTACCTTCTCTTTTAACGAAAAATATTAAACGAAACACTAAAAATGCAAATCTGTATTCTCGCGTATTATACAAGTTACAAATAAAATAACTACATTGTCGATAGAAAATGCATTTCGACCACGATCGAAACTGTTATATAGATCCTAAATTCGAAACTACCAGTGTCAGAAAAAATTTTCCCTGCTTCCTGTTAGTGCACAAGTGCTCTCACGGTATATCGCAATAAGCAAATGATCAAAAAACGATTCATAATTTAAATAAAAATTTTGAATCAAAAGTGCTACTGATGCATCACAAGACACTTTTACCATTTACATTGTGTATATAAAATCTCCTATAGTGATATACATATCAGTTTACAAGAGTTAGTGAAGCATTATTATAAATACAAGGAGTAAATGTACTTATCCAGATTTCTTATTACTTACTTATAAGCTTCTGGAAGATCATCAGAATGGATAAGTCCCATAGGTGGGTGTGGTGCTTGCCCTTCACGGGCAGGTACGTTCATAACTGCAACAACTCGCTCAGCTTCAACGTTAACTTCACTGACTACGACGCAGATGAGATCATTTGCCATGTAGCCTCTTGTTACACCTTTCTTGTCCACTGCCGGCACTGTGGCCGTGTTCAATATTAGAGCCTATTATATCGAACATTATATTGATAAATAATTGAAAAAAATATAGACAAGTTATAAATACGAAAAAATTTAAAATACCTTAACTCCTAAATCGGTAACAACTCTGGGGCAATCGCTGCAGTTGCAAAGCACCTTCAGAAGAAGACCAGCAGCACTTTTACCCATCACTTGCGCGTAAATAACATCTCCAATGACCAAACTCTACATAAAAATATTTTTTTATAATTTACTAATCATATTATTTATTTTAATACAAATCATAAAAATAAATAAATAATAAATAAGCACCTCCAAAAAATTACGAATACGTTGAGATTTTTCCATGGTGACAAAAGTATCAAGGCCTGGCATTGTTGCATAAAATTCTGAAACAATACATATAATAGATTAATTATACATTATATAATGCAAGTAAAGTATTCTAATAATAATATAGAGGGAAATTTTACCTTCATCTCCTAATTCTTGCTTAATAGGTTCGACTGTTTTCTCCAAATTTGATTTATCATAAAGGGCATCAGCTTTCTTTGCTAAGAACTGCTGTAGCTTTAGCCTTTTTCCTCTATCACCAAAACTATTAAAAAAGAAATAAAAAATTTGAAATATATCGTATTTAAAAATATTTGATTATATTATTTAAAATCATTATCAAATACATACCTCAAAGTCTTTTGACGTTGTTGATAGATCTCAAAATTTGGTTCCTTGAGATTGAGCATGGCCAGCTCATTCTCGTTGCGTTCTCCTTCCCACACTTTCTGCAACTGTTGACCATGGTAGTTCAATGCTTGCGCCACAAGGCGCGCATCCATTGATTCCATTTTGATTCAGTACTGCAAGCAACCTAGTCCTGCAATACTATGAAAATCGGCGAATTCGTAATGTTTTCTTTTTTTTCTTCAATATCCAAGATATTATTCAATATGGACAAAATTTTTAATAGCTGCCTCTGACCGACTGCCCGAAATTGGCATGCAAAAAAGACATCATCCAACAGCCAAGGACACGTGTTTGTAACTGATAAACCGCTCTCCACGGTCATATCCAGAAAATTCTGGTATTGCAATCATCTAAGGATTGGTCGAATGCTAGCAGTAAAAAACGTATGGTTTCGTCGACCGTAAATCGTATCTCCAAAAGGGAATGGCATTCTGCGCAAGAACGAGCTCAGACAAAGCGAATTACCAAGAACCGGTTCCCTGAACAATTTACCTGTAGTTGCTGATATTCCTCTGGCGAATTGTATTAATGACGTAACAGAATAAATCTGTAGAATATTCGTTTGCTCAAGGAAAACGCTTACATAGTAGGAAAGGCGCGTTATATTGATTTATCGATAACAAGATGGTCGTCAGGAAGCCGGATTGCGAAGGCTGATGACGCCATGACGCTCCAAATGGCCCTCTTTTATTCCAAAACTTATCCACGCCCATTTTTTTCATGGGCATGTCAGATTGGCCAAAAAAGAACCCGGATTATTACTCACCGTTGCTCCCTTATTATCTTCCGACGATTTGTTAATGTGTTTTCCAACTATATCACGGCCAACTACGTAACATTATCGACGATTAAACAACTGCGCGGATATATTTCACCATACGCTGCACAAGTCACGATTACAACAAAGCCGGAAACGACAGACTCAGTAACGCCTGCGTAAATCGCTTTTCCCTTTCTCTTTTTTCATAGCGAATTATACACCATTTCCGGTTTGGCGCTCAATTTAAAATTGTACAACTTTTTGTTTTGTAAAATTTAAAGTTTATCAAAAGGATTTGATTATTTTTTATTAAATTCATATTAAATTTAAGATTTTTTTTTAATAAATAATAACAAATATGATAATATTTCCATATTATTTTTATTTCAATATTTTTTAAGACACTATAATTTATAAAAAATTTAAGATCATAACTTATCATTTTAAATAAATTTATAAACAATAATTAAAATATAAATCTTGTATTACGAATATAAGAGAATTTGTTTGATTTATATTCATTCATTTATACATTTCATTTCGTTGCATTATTTTTAAAGTACAACAAATTTTATTAATTTATTTTATTGATCCTTCTTTGTTATACCCTTATTCTTTGTATCGATATTCCAATAATACAAAATTTGAGCAGCTATTATAGCATTTGCAGTAGTGGAACATATGTACATTATTACCATTGTCATATCTCCTGTTTCTTCAATAGAAGTAAATATTCTAGCAAGAGATCCAAAGAATAACAAAAAACCTGTCGCTGCTGATAATTGTCCTGTATTTCCATTAATATAATTTGTATAAGCTTGAATTAACTGAAAACCAATGTGAAATTTTAAATCCTTAATTATATATATATATATATATACAATATATATATATATTTTTAATATTATACCTTACTAATTAATACAATAGGTATATTTAACGCTTGACAAGTCCAAAGAAGATTAACTGGAGTCAATTCACTGATAATAGCAAGTAATATTGCTAAATAACATATAAGGAATGCAGTTGCTTGTGCTGTATTACCATTGAAATGTAAAACTAAAACAGCAATTGCTAATGTTTGTAACCCTAAAAAAACTCCATCACCCCATGAACTGGAACATATTTATTCATTCATTAATTATGATATATAAAACAAATATTATTTATATTCCAAATTATATTACCTAAATGGAAAACCACTTATAAAACTGTAAGATACCATTGCAGTGATGGCAAATAAATCCAATAATACACTAAAAACATTAATACCTTCTGCACTTTTGTTTCTAAGAATTTTTACAATTTGTGGTATTTTAACTAAAATAAAGAAAAAATTAATATAAACAAGTTAATATTATATTTCTAGTTAATTTTATTTATTATTATTTAATACAATTATTCCACAAGTTATAGTGTTTAAAATCTATAAAGACTATTGAATTACAAAGGTTATTTAAAAATAAAGTTTCTAACCAAGAAGAGATCCACTGATAATGGCAAGACCTAAAACTTTGCTCAGCGTCGATTTAAAACACCCAACTGAAACATGTTCAAAATTTTCAAGTTTTACTTGAAGCGGTCCATATCTTTTTTGAAAAAAACTCATTTTAAATTTTGTAAAAAAATAATTTTAAACGTTACAAAAAAATAATATATCGTTGGAAAAAATTGAATATCATCGAGCTCTCGTTACAAATAATTTCAAAGTTCGATTGTTCAATGATTTTATCGTTTAATTCATATAATTTTTACAAAGTATTTGTTATTTAATGATATATAGAAAATTGAAATTTGATTTCTAAGATTAAAAAAACAAAAAAATAGAACATGAAAACGTAACAAATAAAAAAAATAAAATATAATGAATTTATTATATTTAAGTTTAGATTTGTGTATAATAAAAAATTAAAAAATTAATAAAATAAATAAATAGAATAAAAACTTTAATTATATTTTTTTATTTCAAAATTATTTAATTTTTTATTCATACATTAATTTTTCTATTTGAAATTTTATATTTATAATATTCATGTGATATGACGTTAGAATAACAATGCATGGATTACGTATAGAAATAAATTATTTTAATATCAATCAATTAAATCACTAATCAATTAGAAATTTAAATGCTTACCGTGAAAAAAATTTAAGTCGTCAAAATATTCATCTAAACATTCTTCCGTGAATAATAAAAGAACAGAATTTCTTATTAACTGAGTCATATTTAACACGATAATATACGTCCCTTACCATAAACGAAATATAAAACACTGGACGAACCATAGGATGAGATAAGAATTTATATTCTCTGTTCTGAAATACCGATTGAGCAAAATATTATAGATTTTAATGCGCCCTCTATAATTGAGAGAAATTGTATGATTGTCTGCTTCATGGATAAATGTTAGAAAAGAAAATCTTTAAAATGGTATTTTGTGGAATGTCTTTATCTTGAGTTAAGTCTTGATATTTACCTTTATCTATTATTTAAAATATTAAAATCTATCATTGGATCTATTATTTATTTATTTTAATATAAATTGGAGGATATTTATCCTAATCCTAAATATAATTAATTATTTTTAAGGTATAGGTTAGATTTATTTTTCATATCGGTTGATAAGTATTGGTACAATTCCTCTATTCTTCGATCCATCATATTCCATTGTATATATTAATAATTATCAAATTATTATTTCCACCTCCTGCTAACATATACATCAATTATTTATATTTTCGACATTGTTACAATACATTATCATTAACATTATTAATATTAATAATTTTTGAATTGCTGAATTGATGAGTTTTAAAAATAAAAAACTCGAACAACTTCATTCTTCACTACTTTCAAATAGTTTCTTTCATTGACAGTTATATGTTTATCCCTCATCATTCGTTTTTTTTCAAGTTCGTTTGTATTTTGTACTCTTTTCAATATTCCAGTAAGAATTGCACCAACATATAACTATACCCTTTCCTCTACGAATGCAGTTGTACAGCTGTATTCTATGATTTCCCACAACATATATCGCACTATATTTAATGGTAAGAAATTAATAAATGTCTAAATCAATAATACAAAAAAGATGGAATGGACTATGGAAGAATAGCAGACTTTTTATTTGTCGCATTTATCGTGTAAATTCATAATTTTGACAAGAAACTCATTATCTCCTAGGTGTTTTTACGTTTTTGACGTTTAGATTACTCTTATCACATGTGATTTAACCGGAAAACCGATAACAAAAGCGCGTAAGCATCATCCGAATTCTAAAATAGTAAATGACACATATATTTTATTAAATTATCAGCGTGAAATTGAACTCTAACAATTAACGATAGCAAGTCGAAGTAATTCATCGCTATCGAAGGTCGCCTCTTCACGTGTATCAAAATGCGTTTGAATAAGTGGGTCAGAGTTTGTAGAACTGTGGAATGGTTAAGGCAATCCACGCGATAGCTTTTGCTTCTTTGCCTGCATTTGGTGGCCATGTAGTTCTGCAGGGTGCCTGGTACGCTCCTCCTCTTCCAACAGTTCTCTCCTACCCTTTCTGATCGTTTTTACCCACTTTGAAATTCCATTACATAACCTGTTACGTAGAAATTTCAGAGAAATTATATCATACAAAAAATAAATGTATATATTTTAAATTTCATTGCGAATAAATTCTAATATTTTTAAGATTACAATTTTCACTTTGTTAAATAATCTTGATCTGGCGATAAAATAATTTGGAACGAAGTGATTAAATGTATCCATGACCTTTGAACCTCGAATGGTCATTCTTATCAGACGGTTGATCTAACAATCACGAATCTTGTAACGTATCTTACGAAACACGAAAATGACGTGATCATGCAATCTTATCCAATCCGCCGAATAGTTGGGGTGGTTTAAAACGCTTCCAGAGCGCACGCTTACAGAATTCTAGATTCCGAACACATATCTCGTGTCGTTGATGACGTTCAGTCGGGGTTTTGCTTTCGTTTCATTGATTCATATATTGTAAATTCATATCTGAATCGAAGAATGTCGTCTTTAATCATACAATGTCGAGGTTATTCTTCTATTAAATAATTAAGATTTGAAACAACAATTATTTGTTAGAAATTAAAACTAATTTGAATCAAAGAATGTTGATGGGATGTCGAAGATTCAACAGGTATATGAAAGAAATCTAATTCGGATGTTAATGCAGGATGTTAATGTCATATAATTTTATTATCATAAAAAAATGTACGCCTTGTGCATTATTGTTTCGATAACTGATATCGAATATTGCAAATTGACCTAGGATAAAATAACGTTGATGTCCTCGGGCTCATCCTTTCTAAAACAAATCTTACTGCAATGAAGTGAAATTAAAGAGCAAAAGAGTGCAGAGGAACATACAGATTTGCAAGTGCGCTACATGAAAGCGAACGATGAGGCAGCATCGAATTTGGAGCCGATTAGCACGAATAAAGCGGACAAAAATGAAGAACACGAGGATGATTCCATTGATCCCAACACGAAACCAATGGGTAACAGAAATTCGAGATGTACTTTAAAATATATCTCTTATAACTCATATTCACTAATATATACTTTAACATTGATTGTGTCATATAGAAAAAATTCACCCAATCTCAGAAATTCCACCAACTTTACACGAACGGTTTATGAGAATTAAACAAATAGTAAAAGATGCTATAGCTGCACACCACACATTTATGGTTTACGGAAGGGCTCGAGTGATTCGTGAGTGCATGTTAAAACGAGGATGGTGTGAAAAATTCTACAGAAAGAGCAACACTGGTATTTTCAAATTATTTTGTGCACTTTATTTTTGGTATCGTATAAATTAATTCCTTAGGCGACCAACATTATAACGTGGATGCAAGTCCTATAATACTACTGGCTGGCATTGGGGACTTGAAGGATCAACAAAGTGAACGCCTGTTAATTTCTAAAATGTTAACTAATCATACCGTGGATTTTCTCTGGAATACCGGATCGGAATGGCCCGGCTGGCCATCACAAGATAACAAGACAACAATTTTTAACAGATATTATCGAGCAGGATTTACCTCGAAGGTATCTCAAGTGACCTCAGTTAATTCTTTTAGTCGTGTGAGGCACTCCTTAAAGAAGGATAATATATGCCTGTAAGAAAATCGATTGCCTTAGGTGGGCTTATGCTCGAACGTCAGACAAATGCATTGGTATTACGAAGCTGGAGTGGCGAACACCCTTTTTCCACGTTGCTACAATTTATGCCAAGGGGATCAGATGCACGCTTTCATAGAAGATTTTCGGTGAAATAATATTATTATATTCGGATAAAAATTCTTCCAGATTATTTTTAAACATTTCGATTTCTTTTTTTATTTTTATTTATAGATTCACGGCATGTTTAAATTTATTAAAATGGTTGGTTAACAAGATAAATATTGAAGGTGAAAATGCAGTTAGATCACCAACTGGCACTGTGCCTTTGAAGGCATTAGAATTCGCGATTAAACGAGGCAGTGATTACATTAGCGCACAATCGCACGAGGATATCGATCAAGAGGTCGAAAGGATTTGGGCGCATCAATGGGACCAATTTATCAGTTGGTACTATCAAATCGTTCACGGTCAATCTCTCTTCATTCGAAACAATGTTCCATTTCAAGTAAGCAATATGATTTCGATTGTATCGCTGACAAGTAACGTCATGGGAACTATATTAATTTAGCACGGTGTGAACAGAAATTCTTCCTGGCGTCGAAGCATATTTTAAAGAAGATGAAGAAGTATTGGCCACAAATCGACATGGATGGTATAATGAACGTGTGGATTATGAAACCGGGAATAAAAGTCGAGGCCGAGGAATCGTTCTCTTAAATAAACTAGAAGATGTTATGACGAAAATGAATCCATCGACTAAAACAGATACTCGTTATGTTATACAGAAATATATTGGTAATCGATACAAACTTATATATTTTATTATAAATATATTTTTAAGTAAATCATATCTATTTGTTTTATATAGAACGACCATTGTTGATACATAACACTAAATTTGACATCAGACAATGGTTTATCATTACTTGCTCCCAGCCTTTAACTCTGTGGATATACAGGTAATATTTTCAGATATAATTATAGCGCACATTGTAGTTGTACAAATACATATATACTATATAACTCGAAACAATTTCCTCTTTCGTGTCACGTTATCTCGTACTTCTTTCGTTTAATTGTTGCGTATCCATCGCAACAATTATCAATTGAAATAACTTACAATCCAGAAGGTAATTAGTTTTCATTGTATAATTAAAAATTGAATACTTTCGAAGAAACCATCCATCGGTAAATTATCAGTTATGAGTTCACCCCTTGTAAAATTGATCTTCTCTAACCCAGTTTGTAGTAAATGCTTGTCCTATTATTATGTACTTGTGTGTATATTTGGCATGCAATTCATACGAGCAGCACAATGGTAACAGTGCAATATCTTCTGTTTTCAGAGAAAGTTATCTACGATTCTGCTCCCAGAAGTTCAGTCTGACGGACTTCCACGAGTCGATTCATTTGTGCAATCACGCGATTCAATGCAAGTACACAAATTGCGGCGATAGAAATCCTGCGTTGCCTTCAGATAATATGTGGGATGCTACGACCTTCAAAGAATTTCTCAAGTATGATGAATCATAATTAGATCAGATCGAAATTTACTACCAACTAACAAAACTCCAACTCCAGATCTCAGGGACACGACAAAGCGTGGGATGATATAATTTATCCTGGAATGAAGCAAGGTTTAGTCGGTTCGCTATTAGCCAGTCAAGAAGCTATGGATCGTCGAAAAAATAGTTTTGAACTTTATGGAGCAGATTTTATGGTTATGGATGACTTTTCCGTCTGGTTAATCGAAATCAATAGTCATCCTGACATGAGTTACTCGAGTAAAGTTACGACACGCTTGTGCAAGCAAGTTTTAGAAGATACTATAAAAGGTAGCATAGAAGAGTTCAATTTATCTCTATCTATCAAGACTAGATCTTTTGGCCCTTCTCCTATTCCTTATGAATTTTTATAGTGGTGATAGATTATCGGGAAGACAAGAATGCGAGTACGGGAGAATTTGAACTAGCTTACAAGCAAAGAATGTCCAGTTGTCAACCATATTTAGGTGCAGCGTTATCTCTTCAAGGAACCAGAATAACCACTGGAAAAAAAACGTCTTTGGTAAACAATGAAGATTCAAAAGTTAGTCTTGTCTCAAAATCCCCAATGGTAGGTTCGAAGAAAATTTAAATTCTTTCCTTTAAATTTCATGAACAACTTCATTTTTAATCCGATATTGCACAACGGTATGTTATCCGAAACAATTTGTAATTCTTAAATTCAGTTTATGTTAAATGTCAATTTAATTAATTTGTTTTTACACACAAATAATTTTAGACTTGTTTGACAAAGAAAAAATCAATTACGCATAATCAAATTGGTCCAGTAATTGTTGATTTGATCGAAGAATTAGAAATACAACTTGATCAGGAATTTTATGCTTATTATAAAATGGATTCGCCCAAATTAAGACAAGCATTACCTACGAGTATAAATCCGAAATCTGTAATAACAACTGTATTAATTGATAAGCAGGAATCGACTATGAAAAGTGCACCTGTGGTTCGTCCGAATTCTAATACTAAAGCAAAATTTCCCATCTTGACACAAGTACGTATATATAATAATGAAATTTAATTGAGAGAAATTATCTTAATTATTAAGAAAAGAATTATTAGGAAAAAGTTGCAAATAATCAAAAGCATGTATCACGTTTGTCGAAAAAATCGCATACTTTTGCTGGGACACTTAGCAATAAAATGGAATCTCCTGCGAAACAATCGTTGGTTTCTAAAGTTATGGCTTTTCAGAAACAATCTGTGAATCAAAAAACAAAATTGAATCAAAAAATTGAAAAACCTTTGAAACAAAATAATGATAAGGTAGAATTAATTTTACAGGATTATTTGTACATTTATATTATATAATTATATTTGTTTAATAATATTTTTTCTCATCCTTATTAGATTATTAAAACTGCCGTACAAGATGTCATTAAAAAGTACAAAAAAAATACTACATCTGTAATTCCTCCGGAATCACATACGTTACCATCTGTTTTAACAACAGCGAACAAAATTAATCAATCAGTTATAAAAAATAAAAATCATAATGTTTCAAAAAAAAGTTTACAAAGTAAAAATAAAATTTTGTCTGACATCACGGATATGTATGCTGTTGGTTTAAGATTAACTAATTGATAGTTAATCTCTGTAAGCTGCACTTGTTGTTGCGATCATTGTTGTTCTTGAAGTTCTATATTTGAACTGTATTTGTAAATGATCAATAAAAAAATTGTACTATCAACTATAATAATTTTTCGATTTTTCACTCTTTGCATAAAATATCGAAACAAAATCAAATCGACTATATTTAATTGAAAAATCATGTTTTGACATATGCTTATAAATTAACCAACATCAATGGCAACTTAAAAAATAAAGCAAAATTATAAGTGAAACTATCAGACAAATGGAAGCCATCATTTTCCAATTTTTTTAAATTTAATGCTAAATTGTAAACAAATTAAACGATATATGTTCTATCTGTCCATACTTGTCACGTGGAATGGAGTGCGCCGACTTATCTTGGAATTCTGGAGATACTGTATCCGTGAAGAACACTTTGAATGATGATAAGAATATCAATCGTGTCGATGAAGATAATTTTCAATGCACATTTTTCCGGCAATCTAAACGCAAATCTTTGGTATGATATTTTATAAAGATTAATTTTCACATTTCATTAAAGTTAAATTTATCCAATTCTCTTTTGGCAGCCTACGAACAATGTTCAACCTTCACTAAATGAAAAATCTATATCATTTTATCTATCTGATACTTGTACCGATTCGGAGAGTGAGCTTGATGAATCGAGAAAAACGCCGCTATGTATAGAAACGTTTCATACGAATCCTGTGAATCTAAATCTGAATAACGAATTTTTAAAATCGCATAATAAACTAGTCACTTTACCGAAAGTAACATTTGATCAAAATTTGTACATTCACCTGGACAATCCAAAATTTTCTACGAAGAAACGATCGATGCGTAAAGAAGATGAAAAATATTTCACAAAAGTCGTACGATTGAAAAAGAAAAATTGTTTGAAAGAAAAAACTGATATGAAAAATAAAAAATGTCACACTACAAACATGAAAACAGCCTATACATCGCGATTCCCTAAGAAACATAACAATCAAATAACAGCGAAGAATGAAATGTTCCTTCAACAATTTACCATAAATAATAACAATAATTCGTATTCAGGTAGAATTTTATGAAAATTTAATTTTTCTTTTCTTTTCTTAAAATAATAAGAAACGTGTATCGTTTATTTTATAGATAAAAAAAGAAGTATTCTTCGCGGTACTAAGAGAACCTACGATTCCATGTATATGATAAAAGATGATACTACCATTACTTCCAAAAAGAAAAAAAGTATCGAAAATAGAATCATGAAGAACAAACTTCTGCTAAAATCTGTACAAGATATAATTCGTGAAATGAATTTACAAGAAGCACAACAAAAAGCATATAAGAAGAAATTGGCGATGAAAGCGCATAACATCAAGCCTGAGAACAAAATTGCGGAGATCGATTTGACGAAATTGACGCGAGAGGAAGCGGAAATTAAAAAACCAAAGAAAGTTATGAACAATTATGGAATTAAAATCGAAGTAATGAAACCAATTTTTAAGAAACCGGAAGTAGAGAAATTATTGAACGAATCTATGCATGAAGCTATAAAAAAATATAGATCGTGTACGCATTCATGGGAAGAGAGCTGGAAGAAACAATTCAGAAATGTTTAAAAAATATTTTTTTTATAGTAAATCCTGAATATAGAACAATATCGAAATTTATCTATCGATTGTCAATATTGTTACAAAATGATTTCAATTTTTTATTAAAAATTTTTATAATGTAATTAAAGTGTGAAAATAGAGACATGAATAAAACATGTAAAAAAATGAAATTTTTTGTTAATAAAAAGATTGTACAATGCGGCAAACGAAGAGTTATATAATTTTTTTTGAAGCTAACGATCAAAAAAATAGAAATAATATCTTACAGATTACAGATTCTAACCATGGATTTCCTAATATTCAAAATAAAATATCAGAAAATACAAAGCATAAATTGGAAATCTCAAATGATATAAAAACTGTAATGATACAAAAATGGCAAATTATGTTAATCTCCGCGGATTGCACAATTAAAAAACACTGTCAAGGTTGGCAGGTACGAAAGAATTAGTTGAGTTTAAAAAAAGCAACAGAATATCTTCTAAGAGTATTAAAATACATATAAAAATATTTCGCAACATTTTTTGTAAGATATATCCAAAAGATCCAAAGGAAATTGAGGAAGAATCAAAGTTAATTTTTAACAAAGTTTCCGATCCCATAATGATTACAAACATAGAGCCTATAAAAACTGCGAATGCCGAGATTCTTTGCAATCGCGATGATCTTGATGATTTGCTTATGGACCAGGAGAAAGAAAGTGAGAATACGTACGGCAAGATTATTTTGAGGGAATATATGAGACTTCTTAACAGTGAAAATGCAAAGATCAATTTCATCTTAAAAATTTTATCAAAAGCTGTAAACGAACATAAGATTTTCGTGATTTATGGTATATTTCCACCGATAAGAAAACCTCTAGGACAGAGAGGTTGGATAGAGAAAAAATTTATCAGAAAAATGCTTTCAATGTCTCCGGAAATTTCCGAAGGTTATTCACAGAAACTCATTCCATTTTTCGACAAAAGGGAAAATATATATATTCTTCATATTTCAGCTGGTTTGGAAACAGTCGAAAAATTGTTGAAATGCCCTCCAAATTTTATATGGTATTCCAATAAGAGAGCATCTATTAGAACAGAAGAGAGAACCATAGTCAACAAATTTACCGGATGTTACTTTACGTCAAAAGTTGTTTATGCCAAATTTCCATTATTTTTTCCTTCTTTCTTTTGATTTACATTAGAATTACATTAAAATTATTTCAGGTCGATATGTGTAATAATTTAGAGAATATTTCTTGGTTTTATGAAGCTGACGTATCAAACGTACAATTTCCACGATGCTACAACGTTTATCAGGTTTGTATGCAAGGTTTCTTCCGCATCGTGATAGTAATTGAAACATCTGTTCAGCCTGCACAGATAGAAGAATTCATTCAAGATTTTTACATCACGGCTAGCATGGGAATTCTTAAATGGTTTTTATGCTTTGCCAGCGTTGTTGGACCAAATTCTGTTTGGTCTGAAGACGGGACTATTCCTATGAAAGCAATTTTATTCGCTCTTGAACGATGCACCGAATACATAAGGTTTTAAAAAATAAAGTAACAAAATTTCAAACATTTTCTATAAAATTTTAAATAAATTACAGTGTTTGTGCACACGAGGATATTGACGGAAAGGAGAATAAAGACATACCGATTCCTGATTGGAATGAATTTTTATCGTGGTACAAACGAATTTTGCAGAGACGTGCAGTATTGCAGAAGAAAAATGAAATAAACATTGAAGTATATAATTAATATAAAAACCAGATTGAATTGGTAGATTATATTATGTATTTTTTTATCAGGAACTTTTACGATACGCATCAAACACGATGAAAACAATGATGCAATGTCGTCCCCAGACTCAAATCGATGGAATGAGGAATATCTGGATTATAAAACCGGGTGATAAAAGTTTGGGCAAAGGTATAATTCTTAAGAATTCATTATCGGAAATTTTGGCCAAGATAAATCAAACTTCCAAGGAATGTATGCAGTACGTTGTGCAAAAGTACATAGGTGAATGTAACCACATCAGTGTTAGAAAGATGTTAAGAATAAATTAATAACGTTATCCATTATTTTTAGAACGACCATTACTTGTACATAAAACGAAAATTGATATTAGGCAATGGTTTTTGATTACCAGTACGCAACCTCTTACAATCTGGATGTACAAGTATCGATTTTTTTCTCTATCTTTAAATATTTTTCTTTGTTGAATATTTCTTTATCGAATCATTTTTTTTTTTTTTGAAGGGATATTCTGGTTCGTTTTGCATCGAAAAATTTTACACTCAATAACTTCCACGAATCGATTCATTTATGCAATACAACTGTGCAATTGAAATACAGAAAAACAATAAATGAAGACTCACCAATACCTTGCGAACTTCATTGGAATCTTCATAACTTTAAAGAATACTTGAAGTATGCATTTTATATCACTTTTAAGATAAATCTTGAGCAATTATTCAATGCTTTATCTCCCCAGAGACACAGATCGTGAATCAGCATGGGAAAAGCTCATTAAACCGGGTATAAAACAAAATTTAATTGGGGCACTTCTGGCGTCTCAAGAAAATATGGTCAATCGAAAAAATAGCTTTCAATTATACGGTGCTGATTTCTTAATAATGGATGACCTATCAGTCTGGTTAATTGAAATCAATACGAATCCAAGATTGCATCCTCCAAGTAGTAGTGTTACTGAAAAACTTTATCCAGAAATAATAGAAGATACTATTAAAGGTAGCCAATCAAGTTTTCAAACTTTCTTAAAAATATAGAGAAAATTTATTTTAAAAACCAATTATTACGATTATTTTTCAGTGGTTTTAGATCGTCGTAAAAATAAGAAAGCTGCTCGTGGTAAATTTGAGTGCATTTACAAACAGCGTAATCCGTTTTACAGAAATGTTTTAGGAAAAGGTGTAAGTCTTGGAATTCGTGGTAAAGCTGTATTTTCCAAAAATTCGATTCGAAATCGATTATAAAACATGAAATATAAAATAAACGAGAATTAATAAAAACGTATTTATTTTATAAGTAACAATGTTTTAGGTATACAATCCTTTATGAACGAATGATTTTTTGTTATATTAATACACATTTATACACGAATGCGTACAAGAAATATATGTTCATGGTTGCATTCATACTTGTGTACAAATTTATGATCCAGTCAACGTATTATTATTATTTTTTTTTTTTAATTCAGCATTAATTCTTATTTTAATTTTGATTAAAAAAGAACATTTTTACTCTATTTTTTTTTTTTTTTTCTATCGACAGAACGAACTCTGTATTAAATTCTAAACGTATGCACAATTCATTAAGATCTCGATTTAACGTACTAAAAAAATTAGCTCTTCTGTTACTATTTTTTCGAAATTGATTTGTATATTATGTATTACAGATGCACAATAGTTCTATTCTCGTAGAAAATTCATGTATACACTTGTGTTTTAATTACAAAATCTATTTGGGTCATCGAGCTTGAAAATGCGAATGCATTAAATACGATTCATTTTTCATTAATATATCTAACTGAAATAAAAGTATTTTTTGTATAATATAGTTACAGAGAAACAGCATTATATAAACTGCATTTGCAATTTGTAGAACACACCAAACTAGGCTAGACTACACTTTTGTCAAACAGATCAAGCAAATTTGTACAGAATATTTTTTTATTATTACAATATAAAAAAATGTATAACATAACAGATAAATACAAATGCTTGCTCTATTACATTCCTGCACAAAACATATGTTTCTCTGTATTGACATCAGTGTAGTCTTGAACAGGTAAAATCCCACCTGTATTGGGTTTCGAAATCTGTCAAGTATAGAATTAATTATTCAATTCTGACGTACATATGATCATCATAATCAAATAAAAAAATTCAACATTGCCAGATTTCGATGATTATCGCAAATACATTCTGAATGAGCTTTGGATCTTATTGCTGCATCTTTTATGTACTCATGTACGCGCAGCATATGTTGAATGTTCTTGCGGAATATGAATGATTCCAAATCCGACAAGATGTATAAATATCACATATAAAACTGCACGAAATGATACAGACTCACGTAACTGGCTTTAGTGTAAAGGACAATTTAGGCCTCGAGTTGTTCTTCCCGAGGATTTTCTTTTGTTCCTCTTTAACACGTTTTTCATGTTCTTTTCTCATTCTTTGCCTTTCTTCTTCCATCAAACGTTGTTGTTCGACCATAGCCAATCTTTCCTCAGCCTAATCGAAAGAAACACTTGTGATTAATCATCCAGATTGTCCAGGATTTAATTTCTTCAAAGACCTACCAGTTTCTTCTGAGCTTCTTCTATCTTTCTGTTGTTCTCCTCCAAGATCCTCTCAAGCTCCTCTCGCTTCTTCCGCTCTTCCTCCTACAACGACAATGGGATCTATTTACATGAAGCAATGATGGTATTGTTCACCAGCTGTTGTTACACTGTTCATATTCAAAAATCATAGTGCCGCTATGTCAACAGTCTAGTGTTATACATCCTAAGAACCATTCTTTTTTATATGGAAAAGATAGTTGGGAATATGTGAAATTTCGAGGATTTGAAAGAATTAGGATGGCTTGTTGATATAAAAGTAACGGAGGATGTATATAAACTCAGTTTCTTCATTTGGATTAAATGAGCTCCTCTTAGTTCCCAGCGAATGCTGTTTATTGACAGATTCCCCAGATGGAAATACGACGACTTAGGATGCCACTTGAAAGTGAAAAAACGTGAATTATGATTCTGAATCAATTCACTGTGCATGCAAAAGGATGTACAGATAATTTTAATTCTCCTTTCTTAAACGCGATATGTTGAGTAACTCTGTTAAGTGCAGGATAAACTCTAAATGCAGAAGGTATAAAAATATTGTCTTAAAATTAAAAAAAAAAAAAAGAAAAAAAAAGAAAAAGAAAAGAAAAGAAAAGAAAAAAAAAAGAAAAAAATTGTAAAATTTTTTTCACAGATAATGATGGTTCACATATCTTCGATAATGGCTGATGTGCATTTGAAAAAAAAAAAAAAGATGGAAAACGTATTAAAAAAATATTTACGAACGAGTGGTGCCATCCGCCCCGACCTGTCGATTGAATGCGTTGTGTCCCAGGTACTAATATTTAGCAAATCTAAAATAATCCCTAATATTGTCTTTCCGATACATAGTGTTTAAACAAAGAATGATAATAATAATATCGGTATAAAATGAATTATGAATATATAAATTGGATAATACCTGAATGAAGCTCGCGCCAGCACGTAGGGGATGCCTTCTTCATCGACAATCACTCAGCAGTGAGTAAAATACCGGCATCTTCTGTTGGTAGTCAGTAAGGAAGGTGACCTATATATTGCTAGGTCGTGCTTTGTTGCTATGGGATTCTAATTCTGCCCTTTAACGTCTACCTCTCCCTTTCTAATTAATTTTCTCCCAAACTTGTTCACATATTCAGTGCAAACTCAATGTGCAAAGCAATAAGAATAAAAGTATGGTCAACTTGTAATCAGGGTCGCTGTCCATTTGACCGGAACGTGCTGATTTCCCGAGGGTGAAAATAACCAATTGTGCATATACATAAAAAACATAGTAGAAGAAAACTCCTAGTCGTATTTGAAGGAAAATGAAGTATTTATGAATATTTATAAATAGATAAAAAAAAAATATATATATAAATATTATTTTCTAAATATATAAATCATAGCCAATTAGATCAAATAACAGGACCCCTTCTTGTAACTCAGAATAATGGTTATACTAAATTAATCAAAGCTGTTATTAGAGCTTAGAATGAAAAAGTTACGGGATAGAATAAATATTTCTTTCTATTCTTATTAAAACTATTAATATTTCTATTATTTATTATTTATTCTATTATATATTATTTATACTCATTATAGTTTGCATAAAAAAAAGCATTTTATCAAGAGCAGTTTATATATATATATGTATGTATGTATATATATAAACTAAATATATATTTTCTTTAATTTCCAAATTTTAAAGTAATCATACAATATTATTTATATTATATATTTTTAATAATTGTACGATTAATAAAAAAAAAACTTTTATGTGAAAAAAAGATCTATTAAAAAGAAAAAATCTAATTCACTTTTATCACTACAAATAGAAATATCTTTGTTGTACCGCCTAAATAAAGTTAAAAATAATTGTGCAATCATATTGATAAAATTTAAGAAGATTTTTATGAAAAAATTTAACAATTTTTTAAATCTACTGCTTCATTGACAGCAAAAACTATTCAGGGAAAAATATCATTTTCCTAGTTTCGTAGAAAAATAACTTTATTTCAAACTTACGATTGCTTTTTTCTGTTTAGCAAGTTACAAAGTTTGGGATCACTAACTTTAAGTAATTGGATACTTCCTTTTCTACTTTTTAAGAGATTAAACGATGCGATTATGTGGACATTCACATACGCGGATATAAACTAGATCAATAAATAGTTAGGTCTGTTGAATTGTCAGGTATAACAATTGTAAAAGTTGCGAGCATAAACATAGTTAATGCATTCGAAAGCAACTTTTGCAATAGTAGATACGACTGGCAATCGAAATATTGTGTGATGAAAGGTATTAATGTTGTACAAATATATAAATATATACATGGTACAAATACAATATTCTGTTCATAAATATCCGATACATGCGCCTATAATAGCAAAATTCTTCCCCACAAGAGAAAGTATACATTCCCAACAACGCGACCTCAGTGGATGTTGGGAAGTCGAAGCAATGTGGCTTTTTAATAATATTTTTTCTCATTAATAACCACAATGCTTCAAGCCCAAACGCTGTGATCGCGAAATAGAAGCTTAATACAGCGCTACAATCACACGTGTTAGTTTCACCATAAATATTTTCAATTAATAATATTTATATAATTTTTGGAATGCCCAATTAGAATTTTCTAATTTTTTTTTTTTTTATGTCAACACATGCAAACATATAAAACCCTAAATTTTCTTTATAGTTTAGAAACATTTAAATTAAATTGCATCTTACCAGTCAATTCATTAAATTATAAAATATATTTCCTCCATTTTATATATATATATTTCATTGATATTATAGCTCTGCCTTTATCAAAATATATTGTTTATTTAAATATAAAAATAATGCAAGGATAGAGCACCAGATTTATTTCCTGTTGATCGAAACAGCGCTTGGGCTAACACTGGCCAATGTTTCTCTGGATTGGTCTTACCTCTCTTCGTTTTTCCTCCTCACGAAGTTTTGCTTGTCTCCATTCCATTTCCTCCATCATTTGACGCTCCATTGCCCTTTTAGCTTCTTCTACCCTCCTTTGTACTTCAGCTTCTATTTCCTCCTTACGTTTTTCTAGTTCTTCTTCTACCCTCTTCTGCACTAGTTCTTCTATTCGTTTGGCAGCTTCTTCTTCAACCATTTTTTGCTCCACTTCACGTTGTCTTCTGTAAACACAGAAATATTTTGTTGTTCTAATGCTACAAAAGTAGCATACATGCTTCAAATACATAAGCATGCTATTTATTTTAATTATTTATAAAAATAAAATGTAATCATCTTATTTAATTAAATAAAATGTGTTTTATTTAATATTAAAAATATATAATTTAGAATTAGCATATATTTTATCAAATTCCAAAATGATATTACGTATTAAATCATATCAGGTACTTATATGTATACAATATAAAATAATTCAACCACCACCATGAGATAGTTATACAATCTTACCCAACTGCACTAGCGGTGAAGGTTTTGTTCGATAATTCTTTCTTTTTCCTGACAACATAATTATAAATAAAAAAAAACGTATACCAATAGAATCAAAATATGCAAAAACTAAATTTCTTTATTAATTAAAAAAATAATTAAATGTGCTAAAATTTATATTGTTTTTGCCTTTTTAAAAAAATAAAATATAAAGAATAATGCAAAGGAATATTTTTTAAAGGATAAGTACCTCAATTCTATAATATCAAATGCATGTGGAAATAATAAAAACATTTTAATGTTATCCTTTCTTAATATTTGAATATTTTAATAAAAACAAGTAGATATTGTAGATAAATATCGTTAGTGAAAATACATTTAATTTAATTAATAAAAATCAAATGAAAAATAATTAAATTTGTATATAATTATAATTACCTTTGCCGCTCCATTTCTGCCAGTCTTTCTACTTCATCCATTTTGCGATCTCTGTCTCTGTATGAACGTTTCTTATGACTGACTATATGTACATCATCTGAAGCATCTGATGAACTAGAAGATGCAGAATGGGATCGTTTCCTGCAAAAATAAATAAATTCTTTCAAATTCTATATAATTGCAGAAAGAAATAATTGACGCGACAATTAAAAATCAATTGACTAATATTTATTAATAGAGACAACGCATTAAGATATGTACAACAATAGGAGATACATAAACATCCAATTAGATGTAATATATATCAATGAAAAAGTTTTTTTTTATTGACTATATGGCAAAATGGCGGAAAATTCGATAGATTGAAACGATTCCAATATGCATATGTTCGATAATAAAGTAGAATTTATTACCTTGTTTTTGAACTACGTTCTTTTGGCTTGTCAGAATACTTGTTGTTCGAATGCTTCTCACGTGATTTTGAACGTTTTCTTGAATGCTTGCTCTTATGACGCCGCCTACTAGG